GGTCGACCCGGCCAAGATTGAGGCAGTTATGCGATGGGAGGTGTCGAGATCCCCATCTGAGATCAGGAGTTTTCTGGGATTAGCCAGTTACTATCGGAGATTTGTCAAAGATTTCTCCAAAATTTCCATCCCACTCACCAGGTTGACCCATAAGGGTGTTACTTTTATTTGGGATCCTGAGCAGCAGGCCTCATTTGAGACACTTCGCCAAAGATTGTGCCAAGCCCCGGTGTTAGCCCTTGCTGAGGGAATGGGGGACTTTGTGGTATACTACCATGCATCTATAACCAAGATGGTTATTGTGATGATGTACAGGGGGCACGTGATAGCATACACGTCAAGTCAGTTGAAGCCCCACGAGATGAGATATTCCACCCACGATCTAGAGCTAGGGGCAGTGGTGTTCGCCCTCAAGATATGGTGCGTCTATTTGTACGGGGTTCGGTGTACCATATACACGGACCACAAGAGCCTGAAGTATCTCATGGATCAACTTAATCTAAACATGAGACAGAGGATATGGTAAGATGCCATGAAAGACTATGACTGCTAGATCTTGTATCATCCAGGCAAGGCTAATGTGGTAGCCGACGCCCTGAGCCATAGAGCCGAGAGTGCTCCGATCCTAGATGTATGTAAGAGGATGACATGATGACTCCAGTCTTAGATACCATTTGAGAGGCCCAGGTGGAGGCTGTGAGACCAGAGAACCGCAAGAGGGAGCGGGTGATTGGGCAGGTGTGTGAGTTTATGATGGATAGTCGTGGGCTTATGACTTTCTGATGGCGGATTTGGGTGCCCTATACAGGCGAAGCTCGGTGTATACTGATGGAGGAGGCACATAGGTCGAGATTCTCGATCCATCCCAGACCACTAAGATGTATTTGGACCTGAAAAGGGGTTACTGGTGACCCTTTATGAAGAGGGATGTGGCTTGGGTAGCTGAGAGGTGCTTGACTTGTTTCCAGGTTAAGGTAGAGCACCAACATCCACATGGTCTATTGTAGCCTCTGGAGATTCCCCAGTGGAAGTGAGAACATATTTCTATGGACTTTTATCACCAAGTTATCGAGGACTACGCGTGGAGTTGATGTGATTTGGGTGATTGTGGACCGACTGACGAAGAGCACTCACTTCCTCTCCATAAGTGAGAGTTCTTATGCAGAGAGATTGGCCGAGATTTATGTGAAGGAGGTGGTAGCTCGACATAGAGTGCCGATTTTGATAGTGTCAGATCGATACATGCACTTTACTTCCAGATTCTGGAAGAAATTTCAAGAGGAGTTGGGTACCCGGTTACACTTCAGTACCGCATACCATCCGTAGACAGACGGGCAGAGCGAGTGAATGATTTAAAAGTTTGAGGACATGTTGTGTGTACGTGTTATGGATTTCGGAGGAAGTTGAGACACTTATTTTCCTTGGCTGAGTTTTCTTACAACACCAACTATCATTCGAGTATTGGTATGCCTCTCTTTGAGCTTCTTTATGGGAGAAGGTGTCAGACTCCTATTTGTTGGGGAGAGGTAGGGCAACGAGTGATGGGTGGTTCTGAGATAGTGCTGAGATGACTGAGTAGATTCAATAGTTCAAACAGAGATTACTTATGGATCAGAGTCACCAGAAGAGTTATGTAGACAGGCGAGGATCCGAGCTGGAGTTCCAGGTCGGATATTTTGTGCTCCTGAAGGTATCCCCTTGGAAAGGGGTGATACGATTCAGGAAGCGGGGCAAGCTGGGACCCCGGTACATTGGCCCATTCAGAGTGACCACCAAAGTGGGTAAGGTAGCTTACCAGCTGGAGCTACCTTCAAAGCTGAGTCAGATTCATAACACCTTCCACGTGTCTCAGTTGAGGAAGTGTGAAGCCGATAAGACGGCAGTGGTGCCATTAGAGGACATTCAGTTCGATGCGATCCTGAATTATATTGAGTGGACAATTGTGACCTTGAATCGAAAGGTGAAGGTTCTGAGGAACAAAGAGGTGCCCCTGGTTCAAGTCCAGTGGCAACATCAGAGAGGGTCCGAGTTGACTTGGGAGCCAAAATCTGAGATACGAAAGAAGTACCTAGAGTTATTTCTAGAGCATGATTTTGAGGGTGAATTATGATTATTGTGGGGGAGATTTGTAATATTGTCTATTTATGTTTTTGGAGGACTATTGAGCGACTCAACGAGTTAGTGCTACAACTCATCGAGTAGGGTCGTGATGTGCCACATGGATTAATGATCTACTCGACGAGTTCGAGAGCCGACTCGCCGAGTAGACGCTGTGAAGAGAAACCCTAAATCCTTGGGTTTGGGGCATATTTAAGGTTATAGCCTCATTGGTGGCTCATCAGCTGCTTGCCTTTACTGAGAGAAACCCTAATCACCCTTTGAGCTAATAGAGAAAGTTTGTGTGACTTAATATTGACTATTTTGGTGCATCTTTGGAAGAGGAGAGAAGGATTTCATGCAAGGAACAAGAGGAGGCTATTATATCTGTTGTTATTCATCCAAGAGCTTCTGTAAAAGGTATAAAGTTTGTACCTTTCTCATTAGTTTGGGTAGATCTCATATTATTGGAGTTTAGGGCTTCTTTTCTATCTAATATTGGGACTTTGAGTGTTTTATGCAGATATAGAGATTTGGACATCAGATCTGGACCTTGTGAGGTCCCTAGAGTCCAAAGATCGCTTCTTTCTTCAGCTATAATGGAACCTTGATTGAAAAACCCTTAATAAAGCATGTTTTTGGCATTTCAAGCCCAAAGTGCCATGCATGAACGTAAAGCTTGTGGCTTTACGTGATAAGAAAGCCTCGAGAGCTTAGATATAGAGTGTGAGAGGGTTTCCTGCCTTGAATTGTCTGTTTAAGACATGGGTTTGAGTGGCCTCACCGAGTCGATGAGCCGACTCAATGAGTCAGTTAGGGTTTTGTCCCGATGAGCTGGCCATGCTATAGCTCGGCTAGTTAGGGGTTAACTCGACGAGCTTAGACCTTCACGAAGACTTATGAGGGACGAGTGGACTCGACGAGTCACATGAGTGCACTTGGCGAGTCAGGTCAAAATTGGACTGTTGACTCGAGTTTGACTTCTGTTGAGTTTAGCGTTTTGTCAACATGAGTAATGGAGACCATGGAGGGGTAAAATGGTCTTTTATCCATTCCAATAATTTAAGAGAGAGAGGGAGCAACCCTTGGTGTATTTTAGTATGAATAGAGTATTAATTAGAGATGATTATCCTATGTATTAGGCAGAGGCTAGTTCGAGATTTCTGAGTACGAGACTTTTACTTGCTAGCTTACAAGATGAGTCTTCTCACTATACTTACCATGAGTGGTATCTTCGTGTGACTGAGATGTATTATGTGCTTATCTGTGTATTGTGATACTCTGCATTTTGTCCTTATGGTTTATGCTTATTGTTATGAACTTATTGAGTTAGGGCCGGAGGGTTCATCCGAGTTGTGGGGCCGAAGGGTCCCCACTGGAACACATTGACCAGAGGGTCGTTTTGAGTTGTCCTCGAGTGGCTAATGTGATGTGTGTGGTATTTTGGGGAACTCACTAAGCTTTGTGCTTACCGTGTTATGTGTTATGTGTTTCAGGTACTTCTACGGATCACGGGAAGGTGCCAACTAGCTTGCACACATATCATAGATTGATTTATGATTAAGAGGATCCTGGAGATTTGGATATATGAATAGTTTTTATATGAGATTTGATGATTTGACATTGTGAAATTTTGTGATTTTATTATTGAGAAAAATGAGTTTTTAAATTGAAAATTTTGGTTTAATAATTTACGTTGTGACAAAAAACTTATTGAAATCAAAACCAAATTATGAAATCAATACCTAAAGCAAAGATGATAGTGATGAAAAAACATCATTCTTCGGTAAATAAAAACCAAATGCTAATCAAACTTGATGAATGAAAGCCTAAAATTCCAAATCTCGATTTACTAAAAATACCCCAAAAAAACCTTGATGATGTCGATGAGATAGAGATGAACCGGTGAGGAGTTGATGAACTAGTAACACAAGGCACTAGGGTAAAGTAGTTTGTTCACTAATGATGTCAATGAGATGGTGGTTGATCGTAGTTTCATGGGGCACTTCTTTAGAGATCAAACACAAACACCCCACCTTTGAATCTAAGGCTCCACTGGAAAAAATTTAAGAGAACAGATCAATGCATTTCTATAATGGGAGGGGTGAAGGAGATATTATAGATAAGGGGTCTTGTTACTGGTTTATTGGGTGCTAGAAATGTTAGGGCGGACAGTGATAAAGGAGGTCATCGTACCTATTCTAGTCAAGCAAGAAAAAGAGAGTGAGTGAGTGAGAGAGAGAGAGAGAGAGGGTACGGTGGATGTGGTGGGTAGGATATATAGTTCTTTTGACTTTATTATTAATTTTAAATTAAATTATTATTAAAATAAATATAGAAAATGTAAAATAGAATTAAAAGGACATAACAGTCCTTTCAAAATTTTCAAGACCTAAATCACGGAAAATTTCTAATTTTGGACATTTAGTGTAAGTTAGACACTTTTTGGATTATATTCACGGTTTTTACGAAACCACAATGACCAATTTTCAGTTCAGTCTTACAATTTATTATATATCTTAATTGTTTATGATTAATAATTAGACAAACTGCAAAAATTGTCCCTGTAGTATGCATTTTTTTTTGGTTTTAGTCCAAACCACGACTTTTTTGGATTAGAGGTCATTTTGAGCTGGTTTCTTTGTGTTTTTGGTTCCTCAGTAAACTGAAAAGACTATTATGCCCTTCTGATATATTTTTTATGTTTTTCTATTTAATTTAAATGAAAAATAAAATAATTAACTAGTTCAGGACTCAGATCTCTCACATACACACACACACACACTCTCTCTCTCTCTCTCTCCCTCTCAGAATAAAGCACACAACTCATTTTTTTCTTTCGATCTCTACTTCAACGAATACAAAGGGCTGCCACCTCGGACGATCTTGAGGCAGCCACCGCACTACCTGTCATCGCCCTCCTCTGGTCCGATATTACACCCCACCACCGTTGCTCCACCACTCCTTCCCCGTCTCACCACGAACATCACCGATAACAAAGAAACGAGAGTAGGACCGATGAGGCAAGGCATCCACCACCTCCGCACCACCACTGTTCTGTCACCAGCCCATTACTCCACCATCCTCTCCCTTTTGATCGCTAAAGGCAGAAGACGACGACGAGGCATCAGTTTCTTCCAAAGAAACGAGAGCAGAACCAATGTGGTGCCCAAATTATTAAACCATGTTCCTTAATACAAGACTGCTCTAATTCTTTCCAACCTAAAAAACAAAATTGAGTGTGAGTGTGTGTCTTTTAATTTTTTAGTGTGTGTGTATTGAACCCAAATCAACTATGGGGGTAGCATCAGTTTCCGAATTAGCTTGTGCAAATGAGCATGTTTGAACACTAAGGTGATTTCTTCCATGAAACTACTAGCCTACTTGATTTTTGGGTCCAAAGCTTCAACCATGGAGTTCACTTCGCAGAAATACCTCCATGCCCATTCTGCTAGATTCATATCCTCATCTCCTTCCTGTGGTTCTTTTCCAGTTACCAATTCTGCAAGATTCATACACCAAGATCTGAGATTTATTTTATTATATGAAAATTAAGAAATTGAAACATTCAAAAACTAACCTGTAAGAAATTGATACGAGGGGAGGAAGGAGTAAGGGTTGGGGCTCCTGTACTCGACAAAATAAACACGATTGTGGTGGGTTTTTACCATGACACTGGGGAGTGGCGGAGGGACTTGCTCCGATGGCAAGCAGGGGTGGTTCTTGGTTGTAAGTGAAGAAGAAGAAGAAAGGGGAATGTTGGTCGTGTGTGTTTGTGTGTGTGTGTGTGAGAGAGAGGGAGGTATATGGTCCCCTATTTTATTTTATATATATAAATACCTATAGGAAAAAAAATGGAGAATAAATATAATAAGGGCAATTTAGTCTTTTCAGTTTACCGGATGACCAAACTCACAAGCAAACTAGCTCAAAATGACCACCAATCTAAAAAAAATCGTGGTTTGGATTAAAACCCAAAAAAAATGCATACTACAAGACCATTTTTGCAATTTTGTCTAATAATTATTCAATAGTAAGCCAAAATAAATATAATAATTTTTAATCAAAATAAAAATCATTATTATATATATATATATATATATATATATATATATATATATATATATATATATATATATATATATATATATATATATATATATAACACCAAATACAAACTTTTATATTTAATTTAATTTAAATAGTTTAACTTAATTTGATTTATTAAAATAGTGGCTGTATGTATTGTAGATAGGGAACCTATTTAAGGCTTTGAAAAATGAAAACCAAAACCTTTCACTGTATGCAAGAAAAGATCTTACTTTTGAAAGTCGTTGAAAGAGCCGAATGGAGATGCTCTAGAACAAACGAGACATTGATAGATGAAAGACCTCCATACACCGATGCACACGTGTACGGTCGACAGCCACTCTGTTCATCCCTCTTGCTCTATAAATGGAGCTCAATAATCACACCAATAGAACCACCAAGCTTTAAGCGAATTCGATCATCAATCTCTTCGAATCAACTCCAAACCCTCCCGATCGATCATGTCTTGCTGCAGCGGAAAGTGCGGATGTGGCTCAAGCTGCTCTTGCGGTAGCAGCTGCAACGGGTAAGATTTCTTCATTTCTTTTACTCGATTTAGCTAGAGAAAAACAATACATATCATCTCTGGTATCAAAATTTTCGTGTTTTAATCGAGTATATGAACATTCTGGAACCTTGAGAAGAAAATAATCAACGGAAACTGAACTTTTGTTTGCAGATGCGGGATGTATCCTAACATCGAGACCTCCACCACTGCCACCGTGATGATCGTCGACGGTGTTGCACCAAAGAAGATGTAAGTAACACATCTCTCATGATCTACAGCTTCAATATGTTCTTAATTAATCGTGAGAATTATTAATATCAACATATATGTAAGATTGTGTTAGTTTAAGCTGATTGAGGTTTGAATCATGTGAATGTGAAGGTATGATGATGGAAGTGAAGGAAGCTTTGTAGCTGAAGGTGCACAAGGATGCAAGTGTGGAGAAAACTGCAAGTGTGATCCTTGCAACTGTTAAGGCTCATCGATCCAAAAATAAACATCCATCTTTCAGTTCATGTGTTGTATGTCTCCATGTTTCTCATATTGTAGTGAAAAATAAAATAATATCCCAATACATATTGGTCTACTAGGCTACTATGAGTAATTGAGAATTATATATATGAAGTATTTGAAAGATTTGATGTGTAGTGAACGAATTGTATGAAAGAAAAATCGGCATGTATGAAATATATATGATCATGATTTGATAATCTCTTTACTTGTTTTAAGACTTTTAATCAAAAGTTTGTGTTGGTTCGGGTTCAAATTTTTGGTTTATCAAATATGAATATCATAAAATGACTTTCTATTTTGAAATTTGGATTTTGCAAAGTTATTAAACAGATAATTTCGTTGAAAAAATATTAGGAATCTTTTAGGAAACTATTGTAGGGATCACTAGTAAAGCAATTTGATTAGGAAACTGTCATTTTGTAATGATCAATGTACCAAAAATACATTTTAGTCATTACCTAGTAAAATTTAAATAAGTCAAGTAATTTCATGATTACTTAGAACATATTTTTCTTTCTTTTAATTTCAATTACGGATATCATAACCCTAAACATCATATATGTTCAAATTAATTTAGCTTTGAACAAAAGAGTGTCTAGCTTCTTAGGCCATACATATACAAAAATCATTTTGATGTGTTTTCTAATATCAAATACTAAATGGATTATTGCTCATTGCTATCAAGATATTCAGATATTGTTAACATGCTCTCAAAAGTTTAAGTTTCGTCTGGATCAAAAGATGTAAAATACTATAGCTAAAAGCGTTTGTGTGAGTCGTTCTAAAAAAAGTAAATACTCAAAATTGAAGTTTGCAATTTTTGTCTTCTTGTCCAATAACAGAGACGAAGGTTTAGGATATTTTGGCGAGTGTGTTTCTCTATGGAAATACTAGTATATTTAGTATGCATCAGATCTTTTAATGAGAATATCTTTCTATTAGTTGCTTATCTCATACTTTTTATAAAATATTGAAACCATATCCAAGATGCCAAGTTTTTAGTCATGTTGTGATGAAACTTTCTAATTATTGACTATAAACGGATATTTTTGTTCCATTCATGATTGATCTATATTCTATAATAGTGGCTAGAAAAATGTCAAAAAGATTGAATTAAAAACAAAAAAAGTATCTTATCTCTATTTTAGTGGGTAGGAAGATGTCGATACTCGATACTCGACATGATTTATCTTATCTACTTTTATTCTATAGATTAAGGGAGGTGACGAAAGAATTAACAACATAAAAACATGATCCTTGATCCTTCCTCATTTATTAAAAGGCATGTATCATCATAAATAATGTAACATGAGATACATTTTACCTAAAGATTAGAAGAAGGTATCCGAAATTGTGTTATCAACAAACACTTGAAATTAAAACACAAACTATGTAAGATATTTGATGATCTCTACACCAGTTGCAACTGCACCTCCTGTGATGGCATCCATCACAACTTTCTCACCTTTGCTTTTGCTCACTGCCGACACAATTGCTCCAGTCACCGCTCCAGCAACCATCGCATTTTTCTATATATCATTTTTTTTTTCAAAAAAAAAAAAAAATTAGATAAAAAAATCTCTGAGAAAAAGACAAATGTTTTTTTTTTTTTTTTATGTAACACCACATAAATTATAAAATAATTACCCAGTCTCTTGTGCCACGAACTCTTTCAACACCATACTCCATTCCCACGTAAAGTCCAGCAACAGCTCCTGTTAAAGAAAGTAAAGAAATCTAATTTTATTTTCAATAAATTTTTATACAATAATCACGAAAACAAGATTCTTTTAAATCGTACCCCAATATGCGCCTTCTTTACACATCTTCTTCAACTGCAATATTAATAATGGTTGTTTAGAGTTCTCATTTTATTTTCGCTAACTTTTTATATAATTCTGAAAGCCCAAAAGCATAAGAGTAAGAACATCACAAGTGACACTAAATTTGAAAGACTCACCGCGTCCTCAAGGTTATGTTTTGAAAGACTCCCTGAAGAACGAACATCAAGAAACACAATCAAATTAAAGACAAGGAAATGTATTCCAAAGTCGAGATCTGATTATGGAATTTGTGCTGACTAATAAGTCGAGATCCACTGCTCACCCTTTCAAAATTTGGAATAAATTTCAAAACGATGTGTTAATTTTGGTCTGAACTTTCGAGTTTTGATGTTAAACGATTTAAGGAAGTAGGTTTAACATCAAAATTCGAAACACAGAATGTATCTCAGCTTCTGATTCATAAACACGTTACCCCCAATTGCTAACTAGTGATGCAAATGAGAGACAAGAAAAGGAAGCGAAATCAAATCAGAGACGATCAAACCTCGTTGAACCACATGGTAAGTCTCCTCCACGATTGTTTTTGCAACGGCGACCTGAAATGCGAATTGTAACAATCCAAATTAGAACTACCAAGACCTAATTGGGAGGCAGAAAGCACAAACAGTGAATAGATAGTGAATTAGGGGAAATGATAATGAATACGAACAGTTCCGATCTTCAAGAAGCCATCGACGGTGTGATTGAGGAGGGGATTTCCCGTGTCGATGACGACGTCGACCTTGGGAGAAGATAATGAACCCGCGAAGGTCTTGCTCGGCATCTTCAGTTGTTGGATTTCTGTAGCACACAGTCACTGTTTGTAGTTTGTACCTTTGATTCGATTTGCCGCGAGGATTTAAGAGTAAATCATACACAATTTGTCATCTACTCACGTGACTTGTGCACCACAAAATCAAATACTTTATTAGCTGTATTGTATATAGATGAAGTTTTATTAAAGTGTGAATTCATTAAAATTGTAAATTTCGTCGACATGGCCTAGATTCGTATCAAAGAGAAATTATTTATATTAAATCGTTTTGTTTTTCTTGGTTTATTCTATTATATTGTATAGGTAGTTTGATTTAAGCTGAATAAATACAATGCAGTTATAGTTACGTATTAACTGTAGTATTAAGCGAAATCGACATGAATCTCATATTTTGTATGAATTTAAATCTGGATCGTTTATAATAATATAGAGTTAGATAAAACTTCTTTTTGTTATTTTCAATTTAAGAAAATAACCTCAAACACATAGGATCACTCACGAAACATTACAAAAAAGTATATATTATTATAGGTATGTTAGGAAATTTTAATATAAATATTTATATTTTTTTTTACTAACTTTGGATATATATAAATATATACATATCTTGTATATATAATTAACTCTAAGTGGATTTGTGTTCTACTCTGTGATAGCGTCAAAACTATATATCGGATGTCCAAAATGAAATATATGCGAATGAGATATGCACTGGCGGACGCAGAACATTTTCTTAGGGGTGACACTAAAAAAAATTTCCAAATAAATCTATATTAATAGTGTCACTCGTGTTTTAAGTCGGTGCACCCAATGGAAAAAACCTTAAAAAACATTAATTTTTTTTACACTACGTGTCGGCGTCGATGGAGTGGCCCGGGACCCTGGGACACCATTAAGGTCCGCCACTGGAGATATGGATACTTAAATTTGGGTATTTGAGAATAAAAGTTAGCAAATAAAGTA